GCACTGAAATGAAGCCAGCGTTGGCATCAGTGATGCCTCTAAGGGTGTTCCAGTCCTGAGTGCCACAACAAAGAAGGCCTGTTCACACATCCTCATATAATGTATTGCTCCTACCTGTGGGACATAGAGGAGAGCCTCTCCAGAGGACCTCAGTCCTCAGACAGGCAAATATTGGGAAAAGTGCTTCTTCAAGTACCAAGGTTCTAAGCCATTTAGGGCTTTGCACAGCATCATGAGCACCGAGAATTCAGACCAGAAGCTTATTAGTATCCACCTAATTTCTGTAAAGCTATATGGCTTCTACCTGATGATCTGGTCAGCAATCTAGCTTCTGTGTTTTGCTGTAGCTCTCAAGTCATTTTCAAATGCAATCCCACACAGAATGCATTGCACAGGTCTAATTGGGATATTATCAGCACCAGAACTGCTGTGGTTACTGCTGTCCAGGAAATTTCTTAGCTGGCAAACCAGTCAAATTGGCCCTGGGCATTTTGAGACAGGTAGCCTACCTCGGCTTCCAGTGAAAGAAATGAATGTAGGAGTACTCCCAAGTAACACAAATCTGCTTCCCTGAGGGAGTGCAATTGCATCTAAGGCAGATTGCTTATCTAACCACTGGACCTGAGAACCACCAAATCCACCTCTTATTGGAATTCAGCTTCAGTTTCAGAATTCAGAATGGGCTTTCATCCATTCCATTGCAACAGTCAGTCACTGGCTCAGTACTTGTACAGCTCCAGCTGATTCTGATGACAGAGTAGAGCTGAGTATCATCAATAAACTTATGGCAACCAACCCCCAAACCCTTCATGATCTCATACAGCAGCTTCATAAAGAGACTAAACAGCATGGGGGGAGGGGGAAGAAGTCCTCTGACACCCTACAGTTTAATGGTCATAATGCCAAACTTGGAGTCCTCCAGTGCCACTCTCAGAACCTGCCCTTCAAACAGGAGTGGAACCATCTCAGCATAGTGCCTGCCACTTCCAAAACATTAACAATGCATAGTATAGCATTCCATAAATCTGTAACAATAAAATGATGAAACAACAAACAGGAGGTAATGGCCAAGAAAATAGCATCCATCAGCTCCAACCCTAACATCCCACCACATTGGTAACATTCAAAGATATAACTGTGCTAGTCTGGAAAATCAGTATGCAAAGGGATCTTGTAGCACCTTTAAGATTAATGAAAATGAAGTTAGTAGTATGAGCTTTCATAGACTTGAGTCTATTTCCTCAGATGCATGGAAAGATCAAGGTAAAACCCCATTAGTTCAGGCAGGTCTTGAAAAATTAAAGAATCAACAGCACAATTGGATATGCCTAATTATCTTTCCTAAAAGACATTACTGGGAACTTTTTAAAAAGATAGTAATATCTGGGTCAATTATTCTACCTAATGGAGACATTACAGGGTATTTGACTGGAGCAGGGGTAGGCAACCTTTTTGAGCCCGGGGCCGGGTTGCTGTCCTTCAGACAATTGGGGGGCCGAGGCACCAAAAATAAATAAATAAATAAATAAATAAATAAATAAATAAATAAATATTTTTTTAAAAAAAATAAAAAATTTTAAAAATATATGCATGCACATTCTCTAAGCCCCAGAAAAGCCATAGCAAAACCCCTGTGGAGATTTTGCCAAGAAAACCCCAAGAACAAGTAATAACAATAATATCATCATGGTGGGCGGCGGCGGTGGCAGTGGCGGTGGCAGGACCGGCCTTGGGCCGGTCCAAAGGCCTCGGGGGGACGCATCCAGCCCCTGGGCCTTAGGTTGCCTACCCCTGGACTGGAGAATCATTTACCTGAGGTGATCTGCATCACCTGGATATAGGATGTCCAGTTGTAGGCATCTTTAGGAGGTATTCATGTTCAAAATCCAACTGATTGCTCCCTACACCCACATTGTCAATTATTTAAGCGTTATTGTGGAATCTTTTGGCAGAAACAAGGCTTCAGATCATCCCAGTGAGATATCAAAGAAAAATGTGTTCACTGGCAACGCCAAGATAATATTTTTAAGAATCTCAGTCATTTCTTTCCCCAACCTTTAATCTCACTGTATGATTCTTCCCTCAGCTGGAAATTTATGAAGATAACTTTTTCCATAATGTGGTTGTCTGTCTGAAGTCCCTGAGGAAGAGGTTCTCACTGAAACTTGGCAATTCCAGTCTGCAGGATAAGTATGTTTATCTTATGGAATGAAGCATATAATATGTTAATGCAAGATAGACTGTGGTGTTACAAATGAATTTTACCCATTTCATAGAGGTGCTCATAGAGGTCTATTGTTCCACTAAATGCACCTTCCAGTTTTACTTGGAAACTGTCTAAAATTTATTATGAAAGTGGCACACCATGGTTTATTACAGCCTTCAGTCTGCATTTTCTTCTTCTTAACATAATACAAGTGAACACTATATACAGATTGGACATATTTCAATATGAGTTAAAATTTATTTTTGAACTGTGATTGAACTAATACTCAGTATGCACTAGTATGCAACATTAAGCTTTAAATTAAAAAGACTGAAAACTGGCACAGTTCATGTGCTACAGTCTGAACAAGGTTCAGAAATTTTAAAAAATGAAAGGCATGAGATAGCTAATGCATTGGTACCACTGCAGAAATAATGTAGGTAATTAAAAAGCCTGAAAGCTATGAAGAAATTTGCATAGAGAGAATTTTGCTTGGACATCATTTGACTATTTTGAAGTTTGTGACTTGCAGTTGCATGTAAGAACTGAGTCCAATGGGAAAACATATGTTCCATTTTGGAGTGACTTCAGAGTAAAGGCTTTGTGATGTTCATTATTCATACATGCAACTTAATTTTATATTTCAGTTATCGTTTGACAAACATGAATTGACAAACCAGTACTTAGCATTGCTACAAACTGAGACATAGAACCACTGAGTAGGCTAAAAGGAGAGAGAGATGGAATAAATATGTTGATCCAAATAATTCCTCCCTTTGCTATTATCTTTGATTTTTTTTTCTATTTCAGCTGGGAAGTGGCCCCTTGGTCTGTACATTCATACTATTCCTTGAGACGTCATGCTGTCGTTTTTCCTGCTGGTATGTTCCGCAGCCCTTTCTTCCATGCTGAATTTCCCAGGTAAGGAAGATAGAGCAAATCTAACACACTTATCACTTATTCACGAAACTGTGTAAGTTTACAAAAATTGCCAAAGAGATGTTTGGGGTCCTATGGAAAGCCAGCCAACAGGACACAGGTGCAACAACTGCACCCTTCATCTCATGCTCCCCAGCAACAGACAGACAGGACATGATGCTTCTGATACTGGAGGTGATACATAGCCATTCTGACTGGAAGACATTGGTGGTGCCACCTTCCATGAATATTTAAATAAATATATATGTCCAGCATGGAATTTGCCCTTTTTTTTACAGCAGCAGCAGGAACAGCTGCACACTGGGCTGACGTTTTTGTTGTGCTGTGTATGAGCTTTATGACATGAGTCCCATACTTGCAGCAATTGTGTAGGGGGGAATTTGGAAACATACCACCTTCAGAGCCCCACATTCACACATCTTCAGAATCGCATGACTTGGGCTTCTGTTGCCATTGCCCTCTATGCCTGAGCCCCTTTAACCCACGCCTCTCTGCCTTCTGCCCTACCAAGTATGCCTTTCATATTTTATTTTATTTTTACTTCTTTTTCTTTTAACTCACACAATTCTGGATCTCTGCTAGTGCTGTCAGTAAAAAAGTAATAATATAAAGAATAATGGGGGGAAGGACAATAGGGATGCTTGGGGGGAGCACAGAGGGAGATTAGAGGAAATACACAAACTCACAACCACCCCAGTAGCATTTCACACCTGCACACATGCGCTATTGACAACTCATTAATGGGTTTTGCCCATCAATAAAATGGGACACAGTAACTGAGGTTGGGAGACCATGACTAGAGGAGGTATTGTCATAGGGTAAGTATTACCAAACCCACTTTTTTCCTGGTGTAATTACGGTTCAAAAACCATATGTACCATAGTAATCTCCTGTTATTTTTGTTGTTGTTGTTGTTGTTGTGTGTCTCTAAGTTGTTTCCCATCTATGGCAGCCCTAAAGCAAATATATTATAGGGTTTTCTTGGCACGTTTCTTCAGAGGCAGTTTTCCATGGCCATCCTCTGAGCCTGAGAGAGTGTGACTTGCCCAAGGCCATCCAATGTGTTTCCATGACTGAGCTGGGATTTAAACCCTGCTTCCCAGAATCGCAGTCCAACACTCAATCCACTAAACCACACTGGCTCTAGTAATCTCCTACTACTGCCCTAAGATTTTTTTTTCCAGTTGCTGCCAATTCAAATTCCACAAGTGAAGTTAGAATGTTAAAGTCAAAAATGCCTCAATCGTTCCTTGTGCATGTTGATTTCCATTTGTTATCTTATTGCCCACTCTCCTGGTCTGTGATTTGTTTGTTTATTGGAGCTCTTCACAATCAATGTTTATCCTCATTATCCTAACTTGTCCACCTCTTTAGTGTCAATGCCTGATTGTTTATGAACACATTATAAAACAATCTCACTCTAAATCCCTGAGAAAACCCAATGCTGGCAGCCCTCCTTTGGGAGAACTGACCACTTAATCTTACTCTCTGCTTCCTGTTCTTTAACCAGGTTTTGGTCCATAAAAGGATCATAGAACCATAGAATCATAGAGTTGGAAGAGGCCACAAGGGCCATCCAAGCCAACCCCTTGCCATGCAGGAAGACACAATGAAAGCACCCCTGACAGATGGCCATCCAGCCTCTGTTTAAAGACCTCCAAGAAAGGATACTCCACTACACTTTGAGGGAGTGTGTTCCACTGTCAAACAGCTCTGACCACCAGGAAGTTCCTCCTAATGTTCAGGTGGAATCTCTTTTGCTGCAGCTTGCATCCATTGTTCTGGGTCCTGTTCTGTGGAGCAGCAGAAAACAAGCTTGCTCCATCCTCAATATGACACCCCTTCAAATACCTAAACAGGGCTATCATATCACCTCTCAGCCTTCTCTTCTCCAGGCTAAACATACCCAGCTCCCTAAGTCTCTCCTCACAAGGCATGGTTTTCAAACCCTTCACCATTCTAGTTGCCCTCCTCTGGACACACTCATTTCTCAACATCCCTTTTGAAATGTGGTGCCCAGAACTGGACACAGTATTCCAGGTGGGGCCTGACCAAAGCAGAATACAGTAGTACTATTATTTTGGGCCTTTACAGACCCACTTTTTTGGGCAGCACAGAGCTGCCCCAAGGAGCAGCAGGTCAGGGCCATGGCACCCCCATGCCGTGGCCCTGATCCTCCCTTTTGCCACCCCCAAAAGAGTGGCAAAATGCCACTCCTTTTTGGGGCGGCAAAAAGCTGCTCTAAGAGCCAGCACTGCAGCTCTTCCATGCTCTTTTGGCGGAGCGTATGTGCACACTGTGCCAGGAGGGTGTCCTGATGCTGTGCACTGTTCAGATGGCTGTGCAGCATCAGCACAGCATCAGTGTAGAGTTGGGGTGGTCGGCATGTGGCTGCCCCACCCCAACTCCACCCCCAGGCCGGCCCTTTAGGCCAGTCTGCAAAGCCCCTTCCTTGATCTAGACACTATACTTCTATTGATGCAGCCTAAAATCACATTGGTCTTTTTAGCTGCCACATCACACTGATGACTCATGTTCAACTTGTGGTCTACTAGGACTCCTAGATTCCTTTCACATGTAGTCTTGTTAAGCCAGATGTCCCCTATATCTTTGCATCTTATATCTATGCATTTCATTTTTTTCTACCTAAGTGCAGTACCTTACATTTCTCACTGTAGAAATTCATTTTGTTAGTTTTGGCCCAGCTTTCCAATCTATTAAGGTAATTTTGAATTTTGATCCTGTCCTCTGGGATATTAGCTACTCCTCCTGGTGTCATTTGCAAATTTGATAAGCATGCCCTCTATTCTTTCAACCAAGTCATTAATAAAGCTGTTGAATAGCACTAGGCCCAGGACAGAACCCTGTGGCACCCCACTGGTCACTTCTCTCCATGATGAAGAGAAGCCATTGCTGAGCATCCTATGGGGTCAGCCGGTCAACCAATTACAAATCCACTTGTTTGGAAGCATATCATGGGGGACCTTGTCTAAGGCCTTACTGAAATCAAGATATGCCTTATCTACAGCATTCCCTTCATCTACCAAGCTGGTAATTTTATTAAAAAAGATCAGATTAGTCTAGCATGACTTGTTCCTCAGCAACCCAGGTTGATGTTTCCTCTGTTTTCTCTGATCTTATGACTGCTAAATTTGCTTAGGAATCTTTTACTATGCATCCATATACAGGCAATTGGAGTTTCTAAGGTGTCATTTTGTATGTTTTTCAGTGCTGTGAACTTTGGAGCCATGGGGTTTTTCATGGCACATGAGCTACTTCATTCCTTTTATGATTATGGTATGTAATGTGAAGCACTGTGAGTAATCAGATGGGCCTTTTGCTATATGTGCCTTTGGTGTCATAGTTCTGTAAGGCTAGATCTACTCATAACCATTTAACAAGTTCACTAAAATCTCAGCCTTTGAAGCTTATCACAAGGCTTTTCAGTTTACCTCTCCTGGCTTAAAATTTAATTCAGGCAGCATCCTGATATTATTGCAGTGATTTTGCCGCTGAAACTGCCACCCAAATACAGCCTGGTTGCATCCTCACTCCCAGGAGTGCTCCAGTGGCCATTTTCTTAAGCCAGAAAATTCCTGGCTTGAAAAAGAGGCTTGCTGAGCATCCCTGGGAGCAGGGATGGACCCAAGCTGTATTCAGGCAGCAGATTCAGTGGCAAAATCGCTGTGATAATATCAGGCTGCCACCCAAATTAAATGTTAAGCTGGGAGAGGTAAGCCAATTTAAAAAGCCATGTGATAAGCCCCATAGTTTCTTATCTACAAAGTAGCATCAGAAGGGGATAGTTATAAATGGTAGGAAATGTCAGGTAGGAAAAAGATGTTGCCCACACAGGGTGACCAGGCATCTTCCTTTTCCAGGACATGTCCTATGTTTCAACCTTCTGTCCAGGAAGAATTTCAAAATGTCCTCCATTTTGAGCATGACTTCGAAGCATGGATTAACATTTTTATATATATTGTAATGTCACACATTTTTCTTGAATGTCCTACATTTCGCAGTGCAGTTTGGTCACCCTGCCCCCACACCCTCTCTTTATGCCCCTGAACCCACTCCTCCACTAGTCAGGGTTTCAGACCCATGCTTCTTTTATAACTGTCAGTCTGGAACCCTGCAGGGGGGAACTTCTCTGACTTGAACCTCCCGCCACTGAAAATTGCCTCCTTCAAATGCTGCTTTGCAGAAAAGTAGCAGTTAATGATGTTTCACAGGGGCATCACTAGGGGGTGCAGGGGATGTGGAGTCACCATGTGAGACTTCAGAAGGGGGTGAACACCTTGTGGGGTGATTGCTGTCATCCACCCAACCTACCCAACCGCCCCCTTGCCAGCCAAGCTGCCTCTGCCCTGGATATGGAGGCAGTGGCAGAGATGTGTCTTTAGTGAGGGCTGCCACTGCACCCCTATGTCTGGCCAAGTGCCACTGCAATTCTGCTCTGAACTGGGCAGGCCTTTGAAGCCACTGCTCTGCTGAGGCCTCTACTTCATAAAGATGTGATTCCTGCTGCATACTTGCCCAGAGCTGTGCTATTCTGATCTCTACCTCTTCTTCTGCTTTCTGTGCACAAATGGCAGTGTCCCCAGGCAGAGCCACCTCCATGAAGGTGGCAGATGAGGGTGAAGACCCCACTGTCACCTCTTCCTCCTTCCTTTCCTGCAGCTGCTTCACTAGGACTGTCAATGCTCCTGATCTGGTGGGGAAGGAACTGAACAAGCTCCCTGGAATTTCTGGTTCCTCATGAACCCAAGCTAATGTACCATTATCAGCATTGCTCCCACCAATTGCCCATGCTGGGTGAAGAAGAGATATGTATGGTGCATAAGTGGAGGAGAAGGATGCCCTGTGCACCTTCTTAGCTTGCTTTCTGGCACATGGCTACCACCCCTGGCCCACCTGCCCACCTTGTCTGCCTTTTTGCATTTTTCTCTGAGCATTCTTCTCTCTTCCTCCCCAGTGACTGCCTCTGTTTCACCTCAGAGGGATTTTATTTGGAGGAGAATGGATGCCAAGGAAGGGCAAAGAAAGACCCTTTGAGGTGAAATGGAGGTAGCTACAAGGGAGGAAGGCTGGGGACTGAAGAGCACTTTAAGGGAAACTGAGGCAGGCTAGGCAGGTGGGTGAGTGGGCCAGGACTTGGTGCTGCAGACCAGACTGGTGGAATTGGGGTGCTCCTCTTCCTCTTGCCTGCCACATGTGTTTCTTCTTTGCCCAGCTTGGTGACACCAGTGGCTCTCGGGACCATGTTCAGCCACCCCCCACCCGTGTAGCAGGAGCATCAGCAACTCCAGCGAAGCAGTTGCTGGACACCAAGGAGAAGAAAATGGTGATGGTGGAGCCTTGGCCCTTGACTGCTATCTTCATAGAGATGCCTTCACCCAGAGCTGCCACCAACACTTATGTGCAGGAGGCAGAAGAAGAGGCAGAGGATGGAGAAACATGGCTCAGGCCGGGGAGTAGTGGTCATAACAGCTGTACTCAGGCACATCTCCATGAAGAAGAGACCCCAGTGGAGTGGCAGCTGCAGTTGCCAGCCTGATTAGCAGCAGGGTTGCCATGGGTTGCCTGGATGCAGAGATGGAGCCAAGGCCCTTGCCAAAGATGTGCCATTACTTCTGCCACCACCAGGAAGAGGAAAAGGAAGAGAGAACCAGTCAGTGCCAGGCCAGGGATCCTATGAGTGCCCAGCCTCCATTGCCACCACCATGTCTCCTCCTCCTCTGCTACTGAGTCAACTCCCTCTCCTGATTGCTTAGCAGCCCTAGAAAAGGTTACAGGGCAGCAGCAGTAACCAAACCCCACCATGGCAGAGATGGCCTGGCTGGTGGGGTGGAGTGGCTGGGGGATGACAACATGAGTTACCATACTGGGGTGACACCAATCATATAGCAATAGCAAGTACATTTCTATACTGCTTACTAGTACTCCCTAAGCGGTTTACAATGTGTAAGCCAATAGCACCCTCAACAAGCTGGGTACTCATTTTCCTAACTTACAAAAGGATGGAAGGCTGAAGGGACTTTGGAGCCCTCTTCTAGGGTCAAACTTACAAAGTTGTGGCTGCAGTACCAGCATTTAACCATTGCACCACCAGGGCTCCCTGACCCTAGTGATGTTACTGATG